GAAACTTGGCTCCCAGTTAGTCCTTGCTGCAGCGGCCCAGGGTTCGAATCCCACCTGCGGCCCTTTGCTGCGTGTCATCCCCTCTCTCTGCCCTGCTTTCCTGTCTGTCTTCAGCTGTCACTATCATAAAGGCAATAAAAGGCCAAAAAATATACTTAAAAAAAAAAAAAAAGAAGCCTAATTAAGTCTGTATGGTTGTTAAAAATAAAATAAAAACATAATACAGACAGAGAATTGTATAAAATGTTCCTAAAAATATCTGAAAAACTCGTCTCTGATGAATATTGAAGGGAAATAATCTTAAAAAATGCTCAATAATTAACCAAAATCTCTGGTTTTACACAAACTTCCTGCAGTTATTGAGTTCACTGTGTGGGTTCATTGTTCAGTTGATCAGCTGTTCTGTGTTTATTGAATATAATCAGTTTACCCAGTGATGGATGAAGGTTGGGAACCACTGCTCTAAAGGTAACAAAGTGCAATCTACTCTCTATTGCCTAACTACACTCACTTGGCTAATGACTGCATTTTAAAAAAAAGCTAAATTTATGAAACATTTAAATCAGGTTGAAATACGCAGCATGTCCCTTAAAGAGACAACGTTTTGTGGAAAGTCTCTACTGTGTGTTCGTTCATTAAATGGCCGCTGATAGGAGGTCAGCGAGGGGTTGGCGGGCGGTCAGCGGGGGGGTCGGGGGTCACAGGTCCTGCTCGTGCATCTGCTGCTGCATCTTCTGAAGCATCTGCTGCATCCTCCTCAGCTGCAGACGAGATAAAGACGAGACAGAGAGAGTTACCTAATAACACATATGGGTCATCATCTGACATCAGAGGCTTGGTTATGTAACCACCTGCCGCAATACATTATTCAGTATTCATCCAGGAGTCTTTTCCCTACTCACTTCTTCGTCTTTTCTCTTGATGAGTTTCTCCGTCTCCTCGTCCGGCGTGGACAGCGGCAGCAGCGGGATCGGGCTCTCCACCCGCTTATCTGCATTCATCTTACTGAGAGACAAACAGGAAGCTGGTGGGGTTTCATTTATTTCACTGCAGTGGAGAAATCAGCTCACACAGAGTTAAAACTGTGAGCAGAGACCGTCTGTGCATTACAGTAGAACAGGAGACAGATAATCTGTTGATAAATTCCTCTGGCGCCTCCTAGTGCTCCTAATGGCTTTTACAAGAATCCAGTAGGCCCGAACGAAGAGCCGAGAGAGAGAGTTGATTATTGAGTCTCATTCCCAGAACATTTGTATCTGACGCCCTGGAAATCAGACTCAACAATCAACTGTCTTTCTCTGATTGTTCATCAAATTACAGATTTAAAATACAAAAAATACAAACTCTGTGTTCATGAATTGTTCAAATTCCACACATAGACGCTTTAAACCTGCAAATGCTGGCTTGTTTTAGCTACTTGGAGGCAGCAGAAACAAATTGAGAACACATCATCGACATATCATCACCTGTTAAAGGTCCAGTATGAAACATTTAGGAGGATTTGTTATTCGTGCAAAAAAAAAATAAATAGGAAAAAGGGCAAAAAATTATTAAATAGAAGCAGCTGTTGCAGGTCATTACTTTTGTTTTTATATTAAATGTCTCCTCACTTAAAACTAACAAAAAAAATTAAGAAAAGTGTGTAGGATTCAGCATCATCTAGCGGTGAAGTTGCAGATTGCAACCAACTGAATACAGCTCGCATCCAAGCGTGTGAGAGTAACTACGGTGGTTATGAAACTTGCGGAAAAGAAACATGGGGTCCTCTGTAGAAGAGGACCCCCTCCCTCTGTAGATAAAAACGTCTCATTATAAGGTAACAGAAACACAATGATACTTATATTCAGGTGATTATACACTAATAAAAACATACTTATGAATATAATGTTACATTTATAAATGTTACACACTGGACCCTTTAACTCCTCCCTGCTTTCACCTGGTCATGGTCTGGATGCACTGGGCTCTGTAGTTCTCGTAGTGGCAGTCGCTGGTGATGTCCTTCAGGTCGTGCATGTGGGTTCTTATCAGGATGGTCCTCAGCTTCACGAAGTCGCAGTGGGACGGGTTCTCCACTGCACGCAGGAAACAGATTAACATCAGGGCTGGTCTGCTCGCAGAGAAATTACTGTTGTCGTGGTAATGGAAAGAGAGTTTCTTACCCTCCACAATGCCCCACGGGTAGAGCCTCCCTCTCACTCTCTGACCTCGGGCTTCGACCACGGTGTTGCTGCCGATCACTGCGAACGGAGTGCTCTCCTGTATCAGAGGAAGTATTCAGATACTTTGAAGTAGTAAAACCAAAATATTAAAGTTCCTGTTTCACTTTAAACCTACAACAAGGAGGTTCAGTTTAATCCTGATGCCTCTACATGACCTACATAAACACCACTATCACTAAACCAAACATCAATCAGAGAGAAGAATTGGGCTGATGTAGTAATTTCTTAATTGAACGTGGTCTTTTACTGCTGTTATCTCGATTTCTACGTCGGTGTGGAATTCTAAGGTTAGTCCACCAAATCCAAGCTTGGTTGATTCGTTGGAAACACTAACAGGACGGTTTTAATTTGAGGTTTTTATTCTGTTTCTGTTCCACTTTTAATGAGAGTTACAATGAACGAATCGTAAATTAGTGTTTTCGTCTCTTTGGAGTGATCAGTATAATCTTTACGGTGTTTGTGGTTGAAACTAAAGGTTCGTATCGTTCTGTAGGTGATCCTTTCCATAATTGCTTGCTGTCAGATCATCTGGATCGATAACGATCTGGCAACTTTTACCAATAATTTTGCACCTAACTATGTAAATTAAGGGTTGAGTTCGACCTAACAAGAGGTGCTGACTGTTGGAACAAAGATGGTTTTAGTGAGTTTTATTATACAGTTTGTTTTACAATTATCTGCTTGGTAAAATGACTAGTTTTCTCAATGGAGTCTGGTCAGATGCTGGTGCTTCAGTGCGACATCTAGTGGCAGTGAATTCTGTTTATATAACCTCCAAACTGTCCTTTAGTAAATGTACTTAGTTACTGTCTTTAAAAATAAGGATTAATGGACTGTGTGATTTAGCCTCATCAGATCAGAATCGAGCTCACCTTCAGCTCTTTATCCTGCCGCTTGAACTCCTCGTCCTCGTCGGAGTCGCAGTCAGGGAACTGGTAGATCTTTATCCCATACTTATCTATCTCTTCCCTCAGCTGGAAGGACAACACAACACATAAGAGACGGACAACAGTGGAAACAACCTCCCGCTGACTGCTGCCCTGTAGAAAGCTCTGAAATGTCTGAGGAAGGTCTGAATCTTCCTAAAATGAACTCAACACAAATCTAACGCTGAGGTTCGCAGCATATCAGTATTGGTTTTGTTAAATCTGGAAATCAGGACTGTGGTTAGCCTAGCTTAGCATAAAGACAAGGAGCAGAGAGGAAACCTGCCATAAAAGCCACAAAATGTAGTTTTTTTCTGTTCATTTATGGATTAAACAAACATGAAACTGTTTATTAGTGAGCTAAAGGAAATGCTGGTGTGTATTATTTAACTGGACTGAGTGGGGCTAGGTTTTCCAGTCTTTATGCTAAGCTAATCTAACTGCTAACCAGACATGAGATCGATATCATCCGTCTGAAAGAAAGCAACCAAGCATTTTCTCATAATGTTGAACTATTTCTTTAAGAAAGTCCATACATTTTAAAAAAAAAAAGCAAATAAATCATACAATTCCAACCATAAAGTATTGATTGTTCAAATAATTAGCTGAAAGTGGAGACTAAATAGTTGAGCAAATAAATAATAAATACAGTTTTCTTTCCAGTTTTAGTAAGTCAGACATCTATTGTATTTATGCAAACACAGAGTCTTTGTGGGTTTAATTCAGTGCAAAAATAGAAATTAAAACACTAAAAACCCAGACGCTGTGTAGACAGAAAGGTTGTTACAACTGAGAAAAACTTTACCTCCTGTCTCATACTGATTCAATCTGGTGCTTGTCGATAACTTATGTAATCAATATGTCGTGTAGCTGCTTCGTGGTCTTACCCGCTCTTTGAGTTTCTTTATCTCACTGGGAGTGAGGCAGTCGGCCTTCGCGATGAGAGGAATAACGTTAACTTTATCCTGCAGGGCCTTCATGAACTCTATATCAACGGGACGAAGCCTGCAGGAGCACACAAACCTCACTGAGCACTTTAATACGTACACGAAGCTCATGTGTTTGAAGACGGTACTGCGTGCGTTACCCGTGTCCAAACGGCGGTATGAAGTAGAGGCAGCAGTGCACCCGGTTGTCCTGGATGTTCTTCCTGTTGAGTCCGCTCTCGTCTCTGAAATAGTGTTCAAACTGCTGGTCGATGTAGTCGGTGACGGCCCTCCAGCTGCAAAACACAAACAGGTCCGTCAGATATGTATGTGATTTTACTACAAACCCACCAAACTCTTAAAGGAATAGTTCAGTAATTTAGGAAGTGTGTTTATACTTGCTTTAATGCAGAGACCGTTAAAATAGTTAGCTAAAAGTAACGATTAACAGTTGAAATTACCTAAAAGTTATTAATAGTTTTATTAGTAGTTAGCAACAGCGCAGGGAGTTATCCCTGTCAAACCACAACCCAATTGTTTTTATATGTCTGTTTAATTACAGATCAAAAAATGAAACTAAAGCTTTAGAGGTGTTGCTACGTGTATATTTGAACAGGCTAGCTGTTTCCCCCCGCTCCTAGTCTTTATGCTAAGCTAGGCTAACCACCTCCTGGCGCACACAGACACGAGTGGTATTAATCTTCTCATTTAACTCAACTTTAAAGTGAGAAATTAATGATGAATATGCAGCTCAAGCATTATTGCTGCTGATGTTCAGTTTGTGGAGCTTTATCATCCTGCGTCAGATGAACAGCAGGTGAGGAAGGTGTCACTGATGAAGTCTGCAGTTTTCACACCGCGGGACACAAACTGAGCGATATTTATTCCTCTTCTGGTCATTAAAACAACACAGGTCTGCACATTAAATCCACCCAGTTAATTAAATAACAGCACCCTCAAAGTAAAACTGATACTGAATCCAAACAAAGAGCAAAAACCACATCAGCATCTTCTGACTTTCAGGTGCTTGTTTCTTCTTATTAAGCTGTAGAATCATTATTTATCATTAAAAATTAAATAAAAGGACTGTGACAGATTTTGCTATATAGCCACGGCTGACACCAGGTTACTGTCTGATAAAACTGCCTAAATATAAACCCTTTTCCTCAGTCCTCAATATTAGATAACAACAGCTCCACAACCAGCAAGAGAGTTATGTGGCAGAAACACTGAGCGATAACAGATCAATACAACCGGGGCGGTGAGAGTGTGAAATATAATTAATGAAATCAAATCAATACTCCAGACAAAAGGAAACTACAGACTGAGCAGACAAAGCAGATCAAACCAGGAAAACCTGGAAAACCTGGAAAACCTGGATATTAGAGGGCAGTTTTCCAGTCCTGGAAACACCTGGAAATTGATTAATATGAACAAATATCCTGGAGGATGTTACAGGTGAGAAGAAGTCTTGATAAAACATGAAACTATATATTTGTGAGGTGTTTTTACAGAAGCAAAGCAGCAGTTTTCTTTTATTTTCATGTTGAACAGAGGATCTGCAGCTTTTATTTTATACGTGGGTGAAAACACAGAGATACAGAGCTGAAAGGGAGGGTCAGGTGAGCTGTGTGTGTGTGTGTGTGTCAAACACTCACCACTCAGTGTTGTTGACGGCGTCTCCGAACCCCGGCGTGTCCACGATGGTCAGCTTCAGCTTCACACCCTTCTCCTCAATGTCCACCGTGTGCTTCATGATCTCCACCGTCTGACTGATTCGTTCTTCAGGTCAGAAACATCACACAGGTGTTACACACAGGTGTTACACACAGGTGTTTACAGCAAACCAAACTACAGTCGGAAAAAAGTAATGTTTTATTATGATTAAATTAAACAATTTGCTACAATAAAGGCTATTTTTAATTAACTGTTAATTAATAATTGGTAGAATAAAAACAAGCTTTTTTTGGTTGATTAAGACTACACAGTTAATTTAACTTAAACAAATTGTTGAAACTGAACTTGAAATTTAAATAATACAACAAAAAAGAAAATATTCTTGATCAAGTAGCTTTAGTAATTTTAAGTGGCATTGACTTAATTTTGTAATGTGAAAAAAAAAAGTAGCAACTTAATCAGGAATGTTTCTGAAGCTTAAAAAACTATGTTGGTGTTAAAATCACTAATTTGAACTTTGAAGTTTGTGTTACTTAAAACTTTCAATATAATCAGTTACAGTGAGAACTGCGATATCGGACACTCACCCTCTGCGTTGAGCAGTTTTCTGTCTTTGTGCAGATCAGTGAGGAACAGACTGTTCACCAGAGTGGATTTACCCAGACCAGACTCACCTGTGACACAATTCAATTCAATTTTATTTCAGGGATGGTAAGACAATGGTGGCTCAGACTGGGATGAACCAGTCAGATGTATGACAGTGCTTCTGGTGATTTTTTGGGGCTGTCTTGAGCACTGAAGCCGACTGCCATTCTGCGTTCCTTGTATGATTGGAGTAGTTTATACAATATTCTGTGTCTCGTGGCTTAGGACCGGCTCTATTTGAAAAGGTCCTGAGATAAACTGTAGCTGTTATGAATTTGGCGCCTTATC